AGTGGGCCTCTGGGGGCCAAGTTCAGAGTTTATAGCAGGGCTCACTCTTCGTGTTGTATAGCTCTATGGGCTTTAACAAGGGCATGCACACTTCACCCGCGTCCTGACGCCGGCGTCGGGTGAGGACTTACAAAGGAGGGCTCGGTCGGACCTGGCGCGGAATCCAGACGCGCGAATCCAGTCGCGCGGGTTCCAAACCCAGGATTGGACCTAGTGAGCCACCGAGCAGCCCACCGGGGGAGCGACACAGTGGGGAGGCGGTGGCAACGAGTTGACTGTGGTTGCCTGGTTGCGCGCGAGTGAGGGAGTGAGCGGTTGGACCCGCCCGGCGGCGGCGCGCCATTTCCCGCTCTGACCACGCCCCCACATACAGCGTCACAACCCAGCGACCTGGGAATCCAAGGCGCCGCTTGTCCCACTTAAAGGGCCAGAACAGACCAAAAATGGCGCAGGCAGAACTCAAAGCCCCAGAGATAAATCTAAATGACGAAGAAATAGCAAAACTCTCAGACGCACAGTTTAAAACACTGGTCATCACCTTCCTCACAGATCTGGTGGATTACAGCCACAAATTAGAGAAACATATGGAGGCTAAATTAAGGGAAATGAATGGAATTCCACAGGAATCCCATAGAGATGAAAAGGAAACTGGGACTCAAATCAATGCAGTGGACCAGAAGAAAGCAAATAATGGACAAACAGAAAAGAGTCAAGGAGCAAGAATTCAAAGAAATGAGGAGAGTCTTAGGAACCTCCAGGACATCTTTAAACGCTCCAACATCCGAATTATAGGGGTACCAGAAGGGGGAAAGACACAACCACCAGTGGAAAAACTATTTGAACAAATAATAAAAGAAAATTTCCCCAATCTGGCAAAGGAAACAGACTTCCAAGAAATCCAAGAAGCCCAGAGAGTACCAAAAAAGTTGGACTCAAGAAGAAACACACCAAGGCATATCATAATTACATTAGCCAAAATTAAAATGAAGGAAAGAATCCTGGAAGCAGCAAGAGCTAAGGGGACAATCACCTACAAAGGAGTCCCCATCAGGCTGTCAGCAGATTTCTCAAAAGAGACCTTACAGGCAAGGAGGGGCTGGAAAGAAATATTCCAAGTCATGAAATCTAAAGACCTACAACCAAGATTGCTCTACCCAGCAAAACTTTCATTTAGAATGGAAGGGCATGATCTCAGTATGCACCATTATAGTATCCTATAAATAGATTCATTGCCTTAAATATTCCATGTGCTCCACTTATTCACCCCTTCCCACTTCCATACTCCCTGAACCCCTGACAACCACTGACCTTTTTACTGTCTCTATAGTTTTGCCTTTTCCAGAATGACCTATAGCTAGAATCATACAGTAAGCAGCCTTTTACGATCCATTTTGAGTTCATGTTTGTGAAAGGCATAATGTTGATATCTAGAAAGACCTCTTTCACTCTGCAACATGCATTTAAGGTTCTTCATGTCTTTTCTTGGCTTGATAGCTCATTTCCTTCCAGCCTGAGTAATAATAATCCACCGTCTGGATGCACCGCTATTTGTGTATCCAGTCACCTGTTGAAGGATGTCTTGGTTGCTTCCAATATTTGGCGATTATGAACAAAGCTGCTGATTCAAACACCCATGTGCAGGCTTCTGTGTGGATATGAGTTTTCAACTCATTTGGGTAAATGCACATGCAATCGGAAGAATGCAATTGCTAAGTCTTATGCTACCTTTTGCTTCATAAGAAACTGCCAAACTGTCTTTCAAATTAGCTGAGACATTTCGAATTTCCATTAGCAATGAATGGGGATTTCCTGTGGCTTCACGTCCAGCACGTAGAGTCATCAGTGTTTGGGATTTGAGCCATTTTAATAGGTGCATAGCAGTGTCTCATTGTGGTTTTAACTTGCAATTCCCTAACGACATATGATACAGAGCTTTTCACGTGCTCATTTGCTCTGTGTGTATCTTCTCTGGTGAGGGCCTGTCCAGATCTGTTGCCCACTTTTTAATTGGGTTGCTTGTTTTCTGATTGTTGAGTTTTAAGTGTTCTTTGTATGTTTTGGTACAGTTCTTTATCAAATATGTGTTTTGAAAAGATTTTCTCCCAGCCTGTGGCTGCTTGTTTCATTCTCTTAACTGTGTATTTCACAAAGGGAGTTTTAGTTTCAATAAAGATCACCTTCTCAATATTTTCTTCCATGGTTTGTGTTTTTGGTGTTGTGTCTAAAACTCATTGACAAAGCCATTGTCACCTAGATTTTCTCCTACATTACCTCCTAGAAGTTTCACATTTTGCATTTAGCTTTATGATCCATTTTGAGTTCATTTTTGCGAAAGGCATAAGGTCTGTACCTAGATTCGTTTTTATTGCACATGGATGTTCAGTTGTTCCAGCATCCTTTGTGGAAAAAAAACTACCCTTTCTTTACTAAATGGCCTTTGTTTCTTTGTAAAAGATAAGTTGACTCGATTTTTGAGGATCTAATTCTGAGCTCTCTATCCTGTTCCATCAATCTATTATTTTTCATCAATACCATATGATATTGGTGACTGTACCATTAAAGTAAGTACTGAAGTTGGGTAATGTCAGTCCTCTGACTTTGTTCTCCCCCAATATTGTGTCGGCTGCTCCAGGCCTTTTGCCTCCCCATGTAAACTCAGTTAGCTGCAATTCACCCAGTAAGTTGTGGGGATATTGATTGGGATTTAATGCAATTAAAGATCCAGCTGGGAGGAAATGACAACTTGACACTGAGTTTTTCAGTCCATGAACATGAATTACCTATGCATTTATTTTGTTCTTTGATTTCTTTCATCAGAGTTTTGTAGTTTTCCTCATATAGATCTTGTATACTTTTGTTAGATTTTATACCTAAGTTTTTTTGGGGGTTGGAGGGAGGTTCTTGTGTAAGTAGTTTTGTGTTTTTAATTTCAGATTCCAGTTGCTCATTGCTGGTACACAGGAAAGTGACCGGCTCCTATCACCTTGCTGTGTAATCACCCGCTATTTCTGGAGTAGATGATTCCTTGCTACAGATAATCATGCCATCTGGAAGCTACAGATAACTTTAGATCTTCCCAATCTGTGGACATTATACCATAAATGCATCATTTTGCTAAAAATAAAAGTTGGGGATACCTTGAGAAGGTACACAAAATGCTGAAGTGCTGAGGTGCCTGCGATGAGACAAAATATTTTAAGTACACCAGTCTCTGTTCCCTTGTTCCTCAAAAGTTAACGATCTTGCAGAAAACAACAACTGTGGGCAAGGATGTGAAAAAATTAGAACTCTTGTGCACTGTCTGTGGGAATGTAAAATGGTACAGCCACCGTAGAAAGCAGTGTGGAGTTTCCTCAAAAAATTAAAAATAGAATTATCACATGATTCAACAATTCCACTTCTGGATATATACCCAAAAGAATTCAAAGCAGGACCTCAAAGAGATTTTCACACGCCTATGTTCATTGCAGCATTATTCACAATACCGAAGATGGGGGAGCAACCAAGAGGTCTGCAGGTGAATAAATGGATAAAGAAATGTGGTATAAACAAACAATGACATGTTATTCACATGCTACAACCCGGTTGAACCTTGAAGAAATGATACTAAGTGAGATAAGCCAGTCCCAGAAAGACGAATATTGCACCATCCTACTTATATGAGCTATCTAGAGTCATCAAAAATCACAGAAACAGAAAGTAGAATGGTGTTCGCTGGAGACTGGGAGAGGGACATGGGAGATCGTTTAGTGGGTATAAGTTTTGGTTTTGCAAGATGAAAAGGTGCTAGAAATCTGTTGCACAACAACATGAATATACTTCACAGTGCTGAACTGTACACTTAAAATGATTAAGGTAATAAATTTTATGTTGCGTTTTTAATACAATTTTTAAAGTTAGTGGTCTTTCCATACTGGACCGGAAGGATGAATTAGAAAGCTCTTCAGGTCTCAGCAGACCTTACTAGAAATCTTCCTGTAAGCAAATACTTAACATGCCATGTTATTACTATTTAAATTTTAAATCTTTTAAGTGTCCCAAGGGGCTCTTTGTAAAAGAAATCATTATTTTGTAGAGAATGGCCAACTTTACCTAATTTGAAAAGTTAAAATTTTGTTTCTTGAGTTTTTTAAGAGCATCGAAAATGAAAACATTTCCTGGAATTAAAAATGTTCGTTGCCCTGGCCAGGTAGCTTAGTTGGTTAGAGCATTGTCCACGTACGCCACGGTTGTGGGTTCGATTCCTGGTCAGGGCACATACAAGAAGCACCCAAGGAATGCATGCATGGGTGGATAAACAAATCAGTGTCTCTCTCTCCCCCTACCCCTTCTTCCTCTATCTCTAAAATCAATAATAATATTAAAAGTTTTAAAATACTTTAAGAGGAAGTTTGTTTTCTGGGTCTAAACAAAGTGCAGCTATTCAACTACCACTCACTATGTAAGTAAAGAAGTAGAACCACCTGTGCACTCTAAGCTGGTTTGTTCTCTAAGCTGGTTGGCTCTAAACTAATGTTTGTTCTCAGTCTTAAAGGCACCGTCAGTTACACATCAAAAGTGCCAACCAGGAAACTCAGTACAAGATTTTCAGGGCATCTCAAACAGCTCCTCACAACTCTGAGCCCTATGTGTTTAGACAGCTTTGTGTTCTGATTTGCCTCTGACTCCATCAACTTATTTTCTCCCCTAATTTTAATTTAGCCCCAACTTTACCATTTAAAAAAAATCTTTTGCACAGCACGCATTTAGCACATCCTCTTTGGAATGTAGGAAGGTATATAAATAAATGAAACACAAATGAGTAATGTGAATGGAGCACCTTACAGATCTGTTACATTGTCACGGATTTCTAAACATCATCTAATCCATTACTTCCAAAGACAAATAAAACTCTAGGGCCAAGTAACATTCATCTTGTGAAGCAGAAGGAAGCAGCAAAGCATTAGGGGTGAACTCTTCAACTAATGTATTTCATATCTCTTTGTAAACAGGAAACTCACAGCTCTAACAGCCAACGGGCTGATGGGGGAGGAGGCGGAGAGGAAGGCTGGGTCTGTGAATGAATCGGTGCTGGAGGCGGTCATTGTTCACTGCTCCCCTGATTGAAGAAACCAGCAACCTGCTAAGACAGAGATAGGAAGTTAAAACTATGCAGCAAGGAAACTCTTAAGCACACGGATGTATCATAAATCACGATGACATTAATGACTTCTGTTAGCTGTAATTTGCTTTGAGCGTTTCTGCAGCGGTGGGAACGAGGGACTTGGAGCTATCCCCACTTTCCCTTCCAGTTTTCTTTCGTAAGAGCCAGGGACAGACTTAAGTGAAATTGAGCAAGTGCTCATCAATTAGGGCTCTTGGTTACAAGCCACAAAAGCTAACTCTATCTCAAACAAAACCAAAATTCATTAGATGGGTGTTATGGACAAAAGGTGTCCACTCCACAAATTCCTGTGTCGAAGCCTGCCACACGATGGGGCCTTTGAGAGGTAGTTAGGGTTAGAGAAGCCCACGAGGGTGGGGCCCGCACAACAGGATAATGCCTTGTAACTTGTTAGATAGAGGGGGGCTAGCTCTGCACCCCCTCCCACCCAGCACATGCAAAGAAGTGATCGAGCGAGTGCACAGCAACATGGCAGCCGTCTGCCAGCCAGGAGAAGGGGCCTCAGCATGAAACCTTCCTCGCCGCAGTCTCCGATCTTACCTCCTAGAATTCCTCCCTTCACTCTGTTCCAGCCACACCTGCCTCCTGGCTGTTCCTCCAATAATGAAAAGTTGGTTAGAGCATTGGCCCTTTTGCCTCAGGGCCTTTCATCTTGCCCTTCCCTCTGCCTAGAACTCTGTTCCCCGAGGGAGTTGCCTGGGTCCATTGCTCCGGTTCTTCAATCTTTGCTCAGATGTCTCCTCAACAGAGAGGTCTTCCTTGACCACCTTTTCGCCTTCTATTTCCCCACCCTGCTTCACCTTTCGTCACAGCATTTCTCACCCCCAGACATGTGTCTGTTTGATTGTTCAGTGTTTGTGTCTCATCTGAGAGATGAACTCCGTGAGGGCTGCCTGAAATGGAGTAGGCACTAGGAGCGATTGCTAAATGGAAGAGTCCAGACCCTGGGAGGGCACTGCTTCCCTCAAACCCGGGAAGCTCAGGACCCTGCAGGCTCTGCAGTGTGGGCCTCTTTCCCCACCATCTGAATGTTGATCTTGAATTCCCTCACTTCAGGGCTCTCCAGAGGGTAAAACTAAAAGTTGAAAGCATTGGCCTGTTCAGCCCCCAAATGCCTCAAGAGCTGGGAAGAGTGTAGTCCCAGGGCAGGGCCAAAAATACATATTTTTTCTTGTCCCTATCACCCAGTTTTGTTTTTCTTCATAGCATTTGTCACTATTTGAACTGGAGCTGAAGCCCCATCTAGACACTTGGCTGTTCCTATATTGTATGTCTGTTCTTGAACCTTCTCCTGATTTTCTTTTGGGGACACTGCCAGTCCCCGACTCTCAGTCTATATGATTCAGTGGGCATAACTCTCACCCTGGCTCCAGGAATGGGCATGGGGGCCAGGCCTACACTAGTCAGTCTTCTTCATCCCCCGACTGCAGGGACTGCTTGGAATCTGGCCCATGTGACCCCAATCAGACAAAAATAATCAGGACCAATTCAAGTCCATGGGACTGCAGGGGAAATAGAGCATCTTTTTCCTGCAGGTTTTAAGAGAGAACAGTAGGTAAGCCTGGAACTGCCAATGCCAAAACTTGGGAAGAGCCTTTCTGTATAAAGTTTCACAACAAAGAACGAAAGATGCGTCTTGATACCATTGAGCTCCTGGATTCAGCCATACCTGATGTCAGTGGACTTTTCAAATACATGTTGCCTAAGCCAGTTTGAGTTGAATGTTACTTGCCACCAAGGGAGCTTTCCTTTTTCACTCACTCTTCCCTCTCCACTTACTATATATTCATTCCCTCTGACTTCTCTTCTGTTAGTAGGAGCTGTATTTCTAGGTCAGACATCCGACTCCGAAATAGGATATAAAAAGCACTTCTTGCTCAAAGTCCAAACAATTGGATGAAGAAGGGGAAAGGTCAGTCCACTTTCTCCATGTTTTCAAACATTTGGACACTTGTCAACAAGAAGATGGAACTTCTAGCTTTTTATCTGATAATTCTGGAGCTCTGTGGATGCCGAAGGGTCTGATTCTCACGCTCTCCTGAGAACTGTAAGACTCAGTAGCGTCTGACTGAAGTCTTACACCTGTACAGAATGGGGAGAGAAGGGACCTGAACACATGTGCCGAAACATTTACCCATCTTCTCCTTAATCCACTTAAATGGTGTCACTGTTTTTAGAGCACTTTAAACAATTTTTTCTCCTCAGCGTTAAAAGGACAGAGATAAGTGTGTAAAAGGACTGCCTAGATATGTCTCCAGATGTGTATCTAGACTATATCTTCATCATTTTCTTACAAATAGTTAACCCTCATCACTTTTTCTCACTTATAAAAATAACACATTACAGAAATGTGTAAAGAAGAACCTGTGAATGTCCCCATGAGTTTACTCTCTAAAGTGACGCGATTTACAGTTGGGTGTGTGTTCTAATACACACCGTTGATAAAGTTCTTACGCACCAATCACCCTAATCACTTGTGGCTTATTTATTTCCCTTTATTCCCCTGGGCAACTGGCTGTGCCTTTACACAGAGCCGTCACAATCTCTTCAAACCTGTCGCACTCCATCGTGCGCAGCGCTACATAGGTTGTTTCAGTTGCTCCGATTGTAGAGACATACCATCGTTCATTTTTCCATTCTCTTTTTAAAACGGTTTTGTTTATTTATTTTTAGAAGCGGGGAGAAAGAGAGGGAGAGAAACATTGATGTGAGAGAAAAACATCAGTCGGTTGCCTCTCATATGCACCCTGACCTGGGATCAAACCTGCAACCTAGGCACGTGCCCTGCCCAGGAATCGAACTGGCAACCTTTCCGTTTGTGGGATGACACCCAACAAAATGAACAGCTAGAGCTTCAATCTCTTTTTGATGGACATTCGGGTTATTAATAATGTGTGCTCTAATAAATCACACTGTGTTTGCATCTTTCTATGTCCTCATGCTTGTACAAGTTTATAGAATGTTTCGAGATGTGGAATTTCTGGGTGAAAGGGTATGAACACTTAAATTTTAATAACTAGTGCATAATTTTCCTCTGCACAGGTTGCACCAGCTTTTACCAATGGAGCATGAGACTAATCTATTAGTCTTTGTGTCTTAATCTATTCAAGCTGCTATAATAAACTGCCACACACCGGGTGGCTTATAAATGGCAGAAATTTATTTCTTACAGATCTGGAGGTTGAGAAGTCCAAGTTCAAGTCTCTAGTGGATTTAGTGCCTAGTGAGGATCGTCTTCCTAGTTTATAAGTGGTCATCTTTTTGCTGTTGCCTAGCACAACAGAAGGAGCAAGACAGCTCTTTGGGGTCTCTTTTATTTATTTATTTTTAAATTTTATTTATTTATCTTTAGAGGGAAAGGGAAGGAGAGAGGGAGAGAAATATCAATGTATGGTTGCCTCTCATATGCTCCCTGCTGGGAACTGGCCTGTAACCCAGGCATGTGCCCTGACTGGGAATCGAACTGGTGACCCTTTGCTTCATAAGCCCCCGCTCAATCCACTGAGCTACACCAGCCAGGGCTGGGGTCTCTTTTAAAAGGGCAATTCTATTCAGGAGGGCTCCACCCTCATGACCTAATCACCTCCCCAAGGTTCCACCTCTTAATCCCATCACATTGGCAATTGGATTTCAATGTAAGAATTTGCGGGGGGACATAAACATTTAGTACATAGCAATAGGATTGTGCCCCCCCCCCCATTTAGTCAGTATTAGGGAATTGATTGCAATGAGCTATTTACTTTCATTGGTTTCATTAGCCAGAGATGAAACTAAAATTAGCTTGGCAAAAAAAAATAAACTGAAATGTGATGTGGATGGCTTCAGGCACGGCTAGCTCCAGGGCTCAAGTGATGACATTGGAACTCACCTGTTTCTCACTGGGTTGGCTTTGTTCTTCTGACTCAGGTCATGCCCCAAGCAGCTCCCAGTTTTGCCCTTGAAGGGGCAAGGTGGCTGCAGCTGCTGTAGCCCTCATATCCTCTCAGATCTAAGTTCTGCACACAAAAGCAAATTTGTTTTCCAGTAGGCTAAGCCACAGTCACTCTTATCAGACCTATCATTGACCCAATCACAGTGGCCCAAGAAATGAGCAGAGCTGGAAAAAAAAGAAGAGAACTGAGCTGACTAAGGTAGGCCTAGGTGGTTGAGTGCTCCCCATCTGGAGGGCAGAACCCAAAGCCCTACCACACAGGGACTGAGAACAGTGGGGAGAGGCAGAGGGCCTAATGGATATCTGAGAAGGCCAAGGGGCTGCTGGGGAAATCAAGTTTGTCCAGCTCTGTCAGTCACTACTGCCTCCAGTGCTATCCTACGGGAAATCCATTCTTTACCCCACAGCCAGGAAGGGGCCCTCTAAAGAAGAACAAATTTGAACCTTCTTTAACACACTTCAGTGGTTCTTTCCTTTTCCTCGGGAAAATTCCACCCTCCTTAACAAGGCCTGGGAGACTTGGCCTCCCCAATCCACACCAGCCTCATCTCTCCCCACCCCCCACAGTCCCCAGCATTTCTTAGTAAAGCCATGGCCATGGCTTAGTTGCCTGAATGGCCTTGTTCTCATTCCCACTTCCAGACCTTTGCATAATAGTCCTAGTGATTTATTTATAAAGCGCTCCCTAAGTGCCAGGCCATGTGCTAAGCATTATATGTTTACTGTATACTCCACTTGAGGACTCACAAAAACCCTATGAAAGACAGTAGGATGTACAGATAAAAACACGCACTCTGGAGTCAGACTGCTGGAGTTCAAAGTCAGGCTCACATATTAATCATGTTTTTATGTTCTGTGTTTTATGATGCTTTGACATTTTAGGGCCCTGCTAATCCTGGAGAGACTGCCTCTCCCAGGGCTAGCTAATTCTCAGAGATAGTAAACAGTGTGCCTGCAAGCAAGCCTTTCATCTGCAAACCAAACAACTCCGAGCCCAAACACCCAACTGCCTCCTCTATTTAACTCTCACACACCAACACCAGGTCGATATCCCTCTGCCCTAAATCGCCCAGGGCCAAGTACCAGACAACTAGGAGTCACCCCAGAGCCCTGGAGCCTGCTGAAATTACTAAACTAAACAATCCCGAACTGCTCACCTTGCCTCTCCCATTCCTTCCCCGTGAAAAGCACAATCAGGTCTTTGGCCCGGGCTTTTTTTCTGCCTCCTAAGAGACCCCGGTTCTTTCTCTCAGGACTCTGCAAGGCACGGTGTACCCCTCCCCTTGGAAAGTGCAAGTAATCAATTCTTTCAGAGGCAGCTGTCTCCATGTCTGTCATCTTCCTGTATCTGATTAAAATTAAATCCTGGGTACAGTTCACAACCACTTAGCCCAGGGATTTTCAACCTTCTTCATCTCTTGGCACACATAAATTAATCACTAAAAGTTTGTGGCACACTGAAAAGTATTGTTTGCCAATCTGACAAAAAATTGTTATCATTTTGATTCATTCACACCAGACATCTATTGTTGTGTGGTTGCCATCATTTTTTAGTTAACAATCTAAGGAAAAGGAGGTCAGAAGAGGTCAGCATTCCTTTTCTGATCGTAAACGATAGCACCTGACTAAACAGTCAGGTGCTGCATGTTTTAAAAATTCTTGCATCATACCCGTTGAAAATTGCTGGCTTAGCTCTTTGCTAATTATGTGAACTTGGACTACATCTCTGCCTTGAATTCTCTCTATCCAAATGAAGATAATAATAATACCTACTTAAAAGAAATAGGGGGAAAAATTGAGGAAGACTTTAAAATAGAAAAAAGAAAAAAGAAAAGGAAGGAAAGAAGGAAACCAAAGTTAAGTTTGACTCCCTGCTGCAATGAAAGCCAAACTCATGAGACAGGTGTTGGTGAAAGAAAAAGTTTTAACTTAATACCAGTCACCTGAGAAGATGGGGGACTCATGTGTCAAAGACCATCTTAATATCTCACTGCAGGCAGAGGTTTTATTAAGGAAGAAAAGGGAAGCAGAACAAAAAGGTCAAAGGGAGGGGATTGAAAAATTCTCTTCACAGGTGAGCAGTCTGTTCTGAAAAGCATCTTAAAACTGGTCAAACTGAAACTGGAAAAGCCGTGCATGCTGCCTGTCACCACCAGAACCAGTAAGTGCAGACGGGACTGTGTCTGTATGGGCACTTGACTCAGATGCTGGCCATCTGAGAAGGCCACAGGTTATGTACCTTAAAAACCATCTTAACGTCTCACCTCAAGCCTATATATAAGGAGATAAAAAGGGTAGGTAAGGGATTTGGACAAGGTTGCAGTCCTGGTCCGGCCACAATTTTCCTAGTACTTCTTTATTTGCTGATCAACAATTCTTTATCTCTATCACAGACGTTCCCTCCCTGGAACACAATGGCTCAGATACCATCTCCATTCCTGCGGCCCCCTGGGGCTCAAAGGCTGAGTTGCTTGCGGACCTCCTGGAGTCGAGTAGGTCCTGTATTCCAGTTCTGGGAACAACAGCTTGTTCTGAGGATATTGACCAGTTTCATCAATTTTGCAGTTATTCGTAAATTCACTTCAGCATTCCTTTTCTGATTGTAAATGATAGTGCTTTCAATTTTCCTTTCTTGTTTTTAAAGTTTCCTTTTAACCACCTGTAACATCATACTGGTTCCCTCGTTACTTAATGAGCTCAGTAAAGTCGTTAATAATGTTTGTGTATATTGGTGTAAGAGTCACAGTTTTACCTTTTTTTGAAAATGACCCTTTACTGTTCCACCGAGATATCCAACAGAGCCAGGTAAGCTGCATGGGCAGTACGCCTGCCTCAAGGGTGGTGTAAACGCAGACACGACCCTTCTCAGCTCTCAGAGGTGAATCCCAGGTAGCAAGAGAACTTTAACTTTACTAACAATCCACTTTTCTATTTTCTTTTTCTCTACTAAGTTTGCATCTTGTGCCCTGGCTGGCGTGGCTCAGTGGATTGAGTGTCAGCCTGGGAGCCAAAAGGTCGCTGGTTTGATTCCCAGTCAGGGCACATGCCTGGGTTGCAGGCCAGGTCCCCAGCTGGGGGCGTGCAAGAAACAACCAATGGATATACCTCTTGCACATTGATGTTTCTCCCCATCTCTTTCTCTCTCCCTACCCCTCTCTCTAAAAATAAATAAACAAAATCTTTTTAAAAAGTTTGCATTTTGTTTTTGGCTCATTCACACCAGACATCTATAACTGGTAAGTCTTTCTTCTTTAGAGGCAGTAAGGATTGGGAATTTGATTTATATGGTCAGAACAATTTAGTGATCCCTGTGAAGGGGTTAATGGATTATAAAGATCTATTCTCTATTGAGAGAAGCAGAGAATCTGGGTTGTTTATCTATTTGAGCTCAAATCAAGTAAGAAATTTATGCCTTCCAGGAAGGACAGCTCTTTGCTACCAGGATCAGTGAGCTTTTTGTGCTTTTAAGTTGATTCTTGATCTGGGTCTAAAATTGTGTATCTGTAGCTATAGGCTCTCTGTGTCTGTAGAAAAGCCTTGTGTCTTCTTGCATAAGTGTGTAAAGTTTTCTTATCTTTAGAGAATACTAATAAATTAGATGATGAAGTTCTTAAAGGAGCGCTTTTCCGAGTTGCTTGTAGAGATTTTATTTTTTTAAGATTTTATTTATTTACTTTTAGAGACAGGGGAGGGGAGGGAGAAGGAGAAGGAGAGAAATATTGATGAGAGAGGGCAACATCAATCAGTTGCCTCTGGCACATGCCCCAACTGAGGGCCAGGCCTCAACCTGGGCTTGTGCCACAACCAGGAATGGAACCGGAGACCTTTTGCTTTGCAGGATGACACCCAGCCAACTGAGCCATGCCAGCCAGGACTCTCTCGCTTCATTTAAAAAAATTACTAGGAATAATTAGATTTGCTTCACGCATTGCATAGGAAGAATTGTCCAACAGAAGACATGCTCAGCTTTCTCTGGGTGAAATATGTATAGGTAAAATGTCATTTGTATAAATATTTTAAAATCACAGACTTTGTGAGAAGTCCCAGGGACACTGCTCTTGCTCTCTTTAGTGTGTTTTTACCCTCAAGGAAAATGCTCTTACAAGCTAGTTCTTTTAAGAGCTGGAACAAGTATGAAATAGCTCTGTCCAATTTTTCTACCTTCCTCAGAGGCCTGTCGATGCTCTGTCTGATGACATTGCAATAACACTATAGCGTATCAGTCGTGAGCTCAGATATTGTATAAAACATTTGCTTGCTGTCGCCCTCCTTCTGTGTTTGAACCTAGCATGGTCTGGGCCAGTGGGATGCAGAGCAGGCTTATTTATCGTGGACTAGAGACCTGAAGACATCTATAAAATGTCTAGTGTTAGGTACTGAATCTCTTTATGTGATATTCTTGGTATAAAAAACAAATTATGTCTCAGTCTTATTATGTTAAACCTAAAGATCTTTCCCCCTGTACAAATTATGTCCATCCGTATTTATGAATCAGATGTAACAGGTACTCACTTCTTTAAAAATAGACTTCCTCATTATCTTGAGAGCTATTTTACCTAAACTTTATTCTTTTTGGAATGGTTTCATTAAGTTTATTTTGCATGCCAGAAACAAACAAAAGTCCTTGTCAGTTTCATGATTCTGACCTTTCACATTGGAAAATGGCCAGTAACACAACACCACAGTCAATTTCTAGTCACTGCTATGTACAATATCTCTGAGGCTCACCTGAAGACCTTGCTATAAGCTACAGGCCAGAGTTCGTGTTTTCAAAAAAAGACAGTCCCAGAGCCTCGTGGACAAGGGCTACACTGGACGCTTCAAACTACTGAAACCCAACACTGAGCTGACACGACTCACACGGCTTTCAGAGTGTGCTGGTGGAGTGAGCCAGGATTTCCAGATCTCTATGGTCAGGCAGACGGCTTCATGATACTCTCTCTACTCAAGAGCCAGTAGAACAAGAATTAACCGAGTAGGGCCCTGACCGGTGTGGCTCGGTTGGTTGGGTGTCGTTCCACAAAATGAAAGATTGCCAGTTTGATTCCTCGCCAGG